GGTTTTTTTTTTTTTTGAAGAAAACCATAGTATAGTTCAGGTTGGAAGGGACTTCTAGAAGTTGTAATTGATAAATTGGCTTATCTAAGTAAGACCATCTTACAATAGTTCTTTAATTTGCTTTCAGTAAAGTACATCAGAGAAGAGAGGAAGCCTATACAATTATGCTGTCAGAACTGTTATTTGGCATACACGAACAAAGAATGGTGTATAAATCTCTAATTCTATAGATGCACTACTTAAGCACTTAAAGACACCTCTGAATGAAGCCTGCTATTCTAACCTCCACACTAAGCAGAACGCATGATTTCAGTTTTAGGACTTCTTTTTGCTCTGACTTACACAATTCATACAACTTATTATTTGTGAACTTTTTTCTTTAAAGCAAATGTGTAGTATCTTTACCTCAAAAACAGCTGGAGCCATAACAGCATCTCCTAAAGAGCAGTCTCCAACAGTTTGCATGCTATCATAGGGAGCATAAGAGCTGTAGTTGTAGTCAGCATAAGGATCATAACCCCACTGTGAGTAGTAGTTCTGATAATCTTGGTAATAATCATTATAGTTGTATGACTGGTACCGCTGGAATTCTGCTTTCAGTCTGAAACATGAGAAGTTACATACAGTTAGAGTTTGAGAACAATAAACTGTAAACCCAGTCCTGAAGTTAAACAATTTGCCAGCTTACCCATTTCAAAGTTTAAAAGAAAGCTTTTCTGAATGGTTGCCTAAGCAACAGTCTAAGTCTCGGCACAAGATCTCAGGTTTATACAGAAGCAAATGCTCTCACCTTCACCTATACCAAAAGTAATTATTTTCATGGATTAACTTGAGCCATGACACTATCTGTATTAATTTTGATTATTTTTAGTATCTGTATAAGCAAGCTCCTGATAAATCTTTATGCTCTGCTAAAAACTAATTTATTAAGACCAGAGAGATTTATCATGCGCAGCTGCTTTAAAGATGCATTCAGTCTTAATTAGCCCTTCTATCATTTGTTTGGTTAATACTAAATTTTATTATTTCTAGAAACAAGGGGGTGAAGTCAGACTATCTGTTTCAGAGGAGCATCTGACACTGCCTGCCAGTTTGCCACGTCTACCTCCACCTGCTCAATTTTTACTCCATGAACAGTCGCCAAAGTATAGCTGTCAGGTGAAGTCAGCACTGCCATTATCCAGTATGAAGCCAAAGCAGCAGGAAAGTGACAAAACTCATTGATTCTTAAGTCCAAAGGGCCAGCTGATTAGTTTTCACTACTCTCCCTCTCCTGAGTAGATTTTCTCAGGGACAACTTCACACTAAAGACAAGAATCAATGCACAAGTGTTGTCTGTACTAAACCAGAGGTACACTACATGAAATACATTCAGATAACCCAGCCGCACATTCCAAGAAATCCTCTATGCTTAGACATTTCTTCACTGATTATGTACAGGCAGACCTCCTGTGTTTGCAGAGTCCAATTTCTCTGCATCTCCACTTCATTACAGAAAAGTCAGATCTAGACTTGTCAACAACACAAACTAAAGGAGCTCAGAAATAGAGTTTCCAGTATAAGCAACTGAGTGACAAACTACCCTCATGGCTGGATATTGATGCTAGGAGAGCACAGTACTCATTCATTCAGAAACAGATATAGTGATGTGTATTTTAATACCTACATTAGTTTCATTACTGTAAAGCTACACATACATTCTAATAAATACGTATTCTATTGGCTTGCTACTGTAGTAAACAAATGACTACATAACATCTCAAAGTCTTCTCCTTCCTACTTCTCTCCTACATACATCTCTGTAGGAAAGAAGAATCTGAAAATACTGCTGACATTCTTCTGGAGAGCAGAAATGAGGAAACCTGTTTCTTTGTGACCTCTTCTTATTTTCAAAATGATTTAGTCAGAGCAATTCTGGACAGTGCTCTCTTGGGTAAGAGCATTTCCATTCTAAAGCAAAGAGGCAACATTTGCAGAATTATCCAGGGTAAAGAGAAACAAAAGCTGTTATTTTTACTATTTAACAGAACATACAAGCTAATCTCATGAATATACTGAAATTATGTTATATAAAGTTCTATTTTTGTCTGTTTCCTGGATCAAAGTTTATCAAATTTGGTATCAATTCTCTAACTATTCAGAGACTTGAATTGCCTTAAATAACTGACTGAGAGAACTGAGCCGGCAGAGTAAGAAACCCTCTCAAAACCAATTAAATTCCCTGCTGCCCCAATCACTTGAAAAGCAAAGAATAGTACTCTAAACAAACTGTTCCAAAGCAACATCGCCTTTGGCTTCTTCCCCCCTACATTCTGTATTTTTCCACTTAAGAGTTCCATCCTCTGCCAGCCTACTGTAAAACTAGCTACGCGCTACCTTGCCTAAACTAGAGAGAAAGGTCTAGAAGAAAAGCCCCCTAGCATACAAAACCACTTGTTGTCCCTTCTATCTTCTTCAGGCCCAAACCTGGAAAATATTTATGAATGCATTCAGCTTCGCTACTATAAGAATTAAGGCTGGTTTCAACAGCAGCTAAGCCCAAGTTACACAATCTGGCTAGACTTAAGAGTTGGATTCCCCCAGCGATCCTGAAGAGTGGTTGATGAATCCAGGGAGTCAAAACATAATGCTTCTGTATTTTTGGTTTTGTAGACTGCATCATGTATACAGCCATTATAGCAAGGGCCACAGACTTTACAAAGGCAGAGCTACAAGAATCTGATTATTTAGAATTACTGTATCAATGTACAACTCATTTGTTACCTTTTAGAAATTCCTATGCTCAGCCGGATTCGTTTTCCCCCCAGACCTGGTGCATTCTGGCAGTCTTGCAGTGCCCTCATCTGATCACCTTGCTCACCAAATCTGACAAAGGCATACCCTCTACAATTTTCAAAAGGGAGAAAACAAATTCTAGTATGCATAACAGTTACAAAGCTAATTAATTCAATTTCTGTCTTCTACAAAAACAGAAGATAGTAGCTACTATAGCTTCCATTACCTAAGCAACCTCTCTGGCATGTGCACATGCACAGAAGATGCTTTCACCAAATTAAAAACTTGGGCCAGAAGCAAAAACCTTGTTCTTTGATAGCATTAAGATGCAACTTGCTGAGAGCCAGCAAAACAACACATTTTAATTGCTATCTGTGTAAGTAATCAGATTCCATATTTCTGCATTTACAGCAGTTAATTTATCAGTTAGTATTAACCCACTCCTACCACTGTACAGCACTAACATTCTTTTTATACTTGCTTTCTCTTAAGTTTCTTGAATTAGTCTATTACAGCCAGCATTGCCTGAACAGCAAACTCGCTCATCCCTGCTTGACTCACTGCCTGGCCAGTATAACTTCTGCTAGGCTTTGTTTACTAATATTAATAGGTTCCATTTCCCAACCCCCTAAGATTTGCCAGGCCTTACGCTTTTCTCCCACATGTAAAGAGAATTATTTTGTCTTCAGTACTGCAGATGACTAAATGGACATGCTGCTGCATGTAAGCACAGCAGCACAGATCTCAGTGCACAGCTCTCCCTTTTCCCACCATCTAATTTCTTTCATGCAGATAGGCATATGGCTAAATTGAAGCTTATCACATTAACTGCTTAAACTATCCAGAAAGTTTTAGAAACGCAAGGATCTATGCTATTAAAAAAAAGTAATGCTAGAGACTAATCTCTCTTCCTGCCTCTGAAGAAAATGCAGAAACAGTTCCGACGCCAAGTTCTTACGTATTACTTATAGAAGCAAGCATATTGATAGCATTACACATTTTCACAGGCGTTACCTGGAATATCCCAGCAGGTCTGTTGCTATTTTGCAGTCAATACATGAGGGGTACCTCTTTAGGAAATAGTCATAGAGCTGGAAATCATCCACTTCTGGAGTAAGCTCCCCAACAAAGATTGAATAATCCGGTCTTTAAAAAGATAAAAGAGAACAACTATCACGTTTGAGACTAAGGTAGCTGACTGCAGTATTAAGGTACCTAAAATATAAGCAAGTAGTTATCACTGGACAAGTAAGACGACAAAATCTGAGGAGAGTATTAGCTGCAAAACTCCGCTGAGTAACATACAGAACTGCAATGCCATCACTCCAGCGTAAAGTTCTCAACTTGTCTGGGTCCATTCTACTGCTTTCACAAAAAAAAGCATTTTAACGCAGACCCATTTTATGAAAAAAATTAGAAGTTGGCTTGAAAAAGAAGTACTCATTGTCTGAATGGGAAGGGGAGGAAGGAGGCACAAAAATACCAAAAAACCCTATTAACTCAAGTTACAGCCACAATTCAAAAGAGCTATGACTATTTTGCCACTACTTCTCAGTAATTATGAGAGAGACGAACTACAAAAAACTTCCATTATTCTATTGGCAATACATTTCCATAAGCAATACTTAGTGTACAGGCACCAGATGTGCCATTTCAGGATTTTAAAAATAAGTGATGGCATTCACTTGTCGCTATCAATTTAAACAGATAAGGGGTCAGAGTTTCTCATTTCAAAAGGTCTTTACCTGACTGAACTACTACTAGGGACAAACTCAATTCTTCCTGGTTTTATTTTGTTCTTTTTCTTCCGTTTCTTCTGTGGTGTTCTCCACCAGCTGTAGGCCTGGAGACATTCTCTTTTTTTCGCCATTAAGTCCTGTTGGGAGAAAAAAATCACCTTTATAGTATTTAGCCTCATTTACATTCCTCCCTCCCACTCCCCATCACCACAGGTGATTTCCCCATATTCACCTTGCCCTTGAAAGAAGCCTGGGGTCCCATTTCTCCCTCCGCCTCCCATGAGGGAAAGCAGCCTCTGGGGAAAACGCCTGGCAAAAATAACAGAGCCAAAGGATTGTATGAACAGCCATATTCCCCTGACTTGTCAAGCTGGCTAAAGGATTGACAGCTTCCTCTTGGAATTAGGAAAAAAGCAGACAGCCCTTCGATGTTGGCCAATCCTAAATGTTAATTAGCTTCAGGACTGGACTGTGTTCCGCTTGAGCTCCAGGACTCAAAAAAACCCTGCAGCAGCACAGCCTGAGTGATGAAGAGGCAGGGAAATCATCACTCTTGCCTAGAGGGGATCTCAGCTGTCCCTATCTCCCCTCACCTAGGAATTCTTCTTCTCTTATGTGAGACGCCTCTCCCTCACTACCCAGCTGTGAGTCACTCTCCCAGGCCAGGAACAACAACAGGAGGCCGATTAATGGAACGTAAGGAGAAAGCAGACCGGAACAGGCACTAGCTTGGCTGAGGGAAAACTCAAACCCAGACGCAAGGCCAGGAAGAAAGAGGCATAAAAAGTGCCTCTTGAAAAGAAAAAAAAAAAGGGGGAAAGAAAAACAAAAAACCCAAAAACCAGGTTAAAAAGGAAGTGGGGCAACTATGCAAAAGAGGAGGGAGACAACAGCTGTGTTAACACAGGTTGCCTCCCTCGCTTAAGATTGAAGAATGAGGATTTCCAAAAATAAGAATGGTGTTTCGCAGCATTTTTTACTTACGCAGGCTTTAATGTTCTTCCTCTAGAACACCTCTACATATATCTTATATAGAGAGTGTTATGCGCAAGGTCCTTCAGAAGAACTCATGCTCATATAATCCAAACTGCAAAGCTTAATGTTATGCCCCCAACCTGCTTCAGTTGATATGATTAAGTGTCCAGAGGACAGTCACCAAATTACCGGAAGAAATCGTAGGACTAAAAGAACACCCAACTCAGAGCAAGCTAGCTATTTCAGCTTTACATTTACTAGGAATTCTGAGTATGGTTCTGGAATCCATTTAGGCACTGCAAGCCTGAATTTCTGACCAAATGATCTTACCTGGCTTGCCATGGTTCAAACTGTCTTCTGCCTTTCTCGAAGAATACGGCTGCGCAGGTTCAGTTTACTGCACTCCTTCAGCTGAAAAAGATGTGGGGGAGGAACAAGAAGATAAAGAATCTTAAACTTGAGATTAATTACTTTCAAAGACGTTCACCCCGTTAATTCAGAACTTGGAAATTTAAGTTCTGACTTGTCACTGCTAAAGCAGTGGAGATAAAAAGGATATATGGCCAATGGGATTATGATTAGAAGTCATCTTCACTCTCTTAAATTGTAAGAGTTCACAAAGTTTTCTCACTGTTCAAAGCACTAGAAAATCACAGAGAGCTTTTAAGTCACCTATACCTTACCCTTATTTTTGAAATAACGAAATAAGCCCTTAAATAATACAGTAATTCAGAAGATCCATTTCTAAAGTAGTTGAAAACAATGCAACAAAGATAGCGACTTCAATGTTTTGTACAGCCCCTCCATTTTCTCCCCTTTTAGCCAAATTAAAAGTTGATTTACTTGCACCACAAATTATACCGCTGAAAACAAGCGGTGGTACTTCCTATGTGCTAAAGAACAAGAGAAATAAAAGAGGGAGGAGGGCACAGTACAGGTAAATTATCTTTCTCTGCACCTTTTCATAGGTACGTCTTCTCTCTTTTGCCTCTTCCAGATACACATTTCACTTATTACCAGGGAGTGAGCAGCAACGAATGACCTTTTACTGCTATCACTAAACCAGTGGATATACTTTCCTGAAAAGGGTATGTACCTCTTTCTTGATTCCGATATCCTTTCTTTGAGCTTTTTTCCCTAGTCATCCAACCAACATAAGTCGGTGTAGCCAGCAATTTTATTTGCAAAATATTTTGCATCTACTTCCACACATTCACCACTGCTGATGTTTCACATCCAGTGTTGCTCCTTCTTTGCAGATAATTGATTGCTGCAGTTTTAATTTCCATTTCCATGCAAGAATTTACATAATGTTTTATGTACTGGCTGGTCAAATCCACATAATACAATAAATACAGAGTGTTTGTAATGCCTTAAAGGCTTGCCCACACAGGGAAACAGTTCAGAGCACTACTTCTGAAAATCGATTAGGCTAACCTGACACAGGATAGCCATATACCATAATTAGAGCATCCATGCATGGTGTTACTCAGAGTAACTATGCACTCCATCCCCACACCCATTCTGAAGCCAACAAAATAGTCAAGTACAAACAAGTCCCTAAATACAGGCATATACCAGTAAGGTTAGCATATGCCCTCTTCCTAAACCTAACGGTGCTCATTATAAAGAATTAGCAGCAGCAATTTTTTCCTGTTAAAGAAGGTCATTATTAATAAAAATATCCACATAGTGATGTTTCTCTAATTCAAGCATTACTTTTTAATAAAAGGAACCATAAACTCCTGCATACCCTAAACACTGAAATACTAATTATTGAATGCACAGTTGCATAATGCCTTTTCAACTTACCGCTCTTTATTCGTGTGGATTTAATGGAAGATGGCACGCACTACAAAGCCGTTTTATTGCAAAAGACTATCAGAAGGCAAGTGATGCAATTGTTTCTCGATCACAGTTATCATGGACTTTTATGCAAAACTGTGTTTCTGTACTCTTTCCTCGTCTGATCTTGACTGTCGCCTCTTGATCTTTTCACTAGAAATCAAAAATATTTAAAAAGCAGTTAAAACGGCATGTATTAAGATCATATTTTTTTACATTGGCTTTAACTGTAGCTACAGTCACAGCTAGCTTATCATTTAAGAAGCGGGGCAGCTTTAACCTCCAGAATTCAAGCACGTCCTTAATTGGATTACACACGCATTTTACCAGCCCATTTATTCCACGTTTTTATTATTATGCCTGTAATGGCGAAGACGTGGATGAAGCTATTTATGAATAAAATCGCCTGCGCAAACACTGCTCACCCGAGCCCGGAGAACTAGCCGCCCCCTTTTGCGTTAATGTCGCTCACAGGAGGAGCTGGGTCAGGGCGGCGGGCTGGGGGAATCTCCCCGAG